CCGGCTGTGACTCTTCCCCCTGTCTCCCAAGGTCATTCCCGCATACCATTACAATTGTTGAACTACTCTTACATTAGGAAGCTTTTTCTAACATTTAACTGGAATCCTCCTTCCTGTAACTTAATCCATCGTTCCATGTCCTGAACTTTGAGGTGGTAGAAAACAAGCTTTACCATCTCCTTTTAGGTATTTGAAGAATGCTGTCAAACCTTTCTCATTTTTTTTTTCTTCTCAAGGCTAGCACCGCTAATTCCTTCAGTCTTTTCATGGGCTTTAATTTCTAGTTCTATTGCCCTTCTCTGAATCTGTTCCAGATTCACTGAATCCTTAGCATGATCTCTAGAACTAAATAGAGCACTCAAATGGGGATCCCATCAAGGCCAAAACGAAGTGGATTCATTACTTCCTGTGATTTAGAAACTTCCTTTTGTTGATACAGCTTGTCCTTTTTTACAGTTGCATCACAGTGCGGTCTCATATTCAGTTTATAATTCACTACAGTTCCAAGATTCCCTCATGCTCCCCGCCCCTCCACAAAGACACAGATATACACAGATACTAATGCTAAGGCAGGTAACATCTATTCTGTACTTTTACATTGGCTACTATAGGTGGGAGACTCCCTAACTCACAAAATGCCTGCCATGATGGAACTGGAAGGCACAATGGGAGAGATCTGTGGGCACATTGAGGGCCAGATAATTATTCTAATCAGCCTCTTTTGAAAGTGAGTAATGTAAGTGCATTGAGCTTCCATGGAAACTTGTAGTCACTGTTTCCAGTCTTCCACTAGATTATCTAATGAATTTACGGTAATAGAGTGCAAATACTTGCATGCTACACAGAGAAAGTAAGATAAGTACAATCTGCGCAAAATATTCATACTGTTCCATACTTTCCATCAGTCTTGGTCCTAGATTCCTCTGTGCAAACATGTGGTATTCGTGCACACTAACATTCCTTTACTTGCAGATTGTAATTTTTCTCCCTTAGTTGGGCTTTGGCTAAGGGACTTTTCAAATAAAGCTTTGTTGATTTTGATGGAATTCAGTAATGTTTTATGGATAACTCTGCCAACTAAGTGAAGTTACTACATGAGCATTTATTTTGCTGGAGGGTGTTCAAAATTGCAATGTGCTCTTGACATATCTCAGGTTTTTAATTATTCTAACTAATAATGGAGTTAGAAGTTCCATTGTACTTTGAATCCAAGTGCCTCCTATTGATGATTTTGTTTGTCAGTGGCCCAGATTCAAGGAATTACATTTGACACCTGTTAGAGATAATGATAAAAGGAAGATAATACAGCTGGAGTTGGTAGTTATAATTTAAAACACATGAAGCTGTGTAAGACAGTGAAATCATTGGCACTTCATATTGAATGGGAATATTAGGAATATTTAATACATAACAGCTTATATTTGCCATAAGACAAAGCATAATTATTGCATTTATTAATAATGCACATTATCAGGAACCAATTACCTGATAAGCTGCATATCTTGAGATGATGTGCAACAGATAGATACATAGACATATGGTACAAATGTACAGAGGAAGAATGCTCTGAATGTCAGATGTGTAGTTTTTGTCCTGTCCTGGTCTGTTCAGGTCTGGTTTGGTTTGTAGTAGGCTTTGGGGGTTAACAATTGGGAATTAGAAAGACTTTCTGATCAAGATGTTAACCTAATTCTGGCCAGTGCAAGTGTCTAGTAAAAACATAGTAATTTAATTTTCTTTTCTACCCAGTATCTAACATTATTCAATATCAGTTTGAACAAAGGCTGATATTTGAGAACCAGTTCTTTTTCATGGTCTCTGTGTGTCACACTAATGGATTTGCACCCATGCAGATTTTCATTCTGGAACTTTCTCTAGCTGGTCTGAAAGATGGCGGCCATCTTCCTTCAGCTATTCATGTGACAGGAATCTGCCAAAGCTGCTTCAGTTCCTCTTTGTCTTGGCCATCTTGGTGACCTTGTGAGAAACATTCTCTTGTCTATTGTGACTTGAGCATATCCCTTTTCCTCTTTCTTTAAAAAATGCAGTCATTTGTAGCACACAGTTCTTCAATGCCTTACAGCCCCAGCCTCTCACAATCTATAGCTTTGACACTTTTTTTCTGAACTTACTCCAGCTGTGAATCCCGCAATTCACAGACAGCCACAGTTCTTTTTTCACCCTGGAGAAGGCCAAGGGGTTAAATTTTGACCTTACTGCTAGAACTTCATAGAACTTCAGGTATGGGTCATCTCAGCTCCATGCCTCCTTTTGGGAGCAGGCCCCTAAGCGTAGTGTCTACTTTGGTGGGGGGGAGGTGGAGTTACAAGGCTCCAGACCTTGCCAATTTGGTTCTCCTACCAGCCTCAAATGCAAGATGTCCAAAAAAATGAAGTCCAAGCCAATCCCTCTTTCAGGTCCTTCGACGCCAGCCTGAAACCCAATTCCTGCTGATTTTAAGAAAGATTGCAAATACTGAAGTCCTATTATGGGTCATGAGTCTTTGCCTCATTGTCTGGGGGATATTCTCCAAAACTCTTCTTCAGTCAAAGTATCTTTAAATCCTGAAGGAAACCTACTTTGTGCTATTTTAAGCAAAATGGAATGGGTTTTGCCTTTCCACTTGCTAGGAACAGACTAGCCCTTGTTCTTTGTCAGCAGAGATACCTCTTCATTTTCTGTTAAGTGTTAAATACAGACACTGTTAATCATTTAGGGTTTATTTCAGCAGCAATTTCAGTTTTTCATTCTATCTCAGGATCATAAATTTTGTTTTCTTCTGTAGTTAAACAATTTAGATTTAGCTTCCATAGCTTGTTTCCTCCTATTACTAAGTAGGCCCCTTCTTGGAATATTTCCATCCTCCTTGCTCAGTTATCATCCAAACCCTTTGAGCCAAGGGTCTTCTGCGCTTTATATTTTCCCATCATGAAAACTGTTTTTCTGCCTCTCATCCTAGTAAATGGTGTCAGTCCTACATAACTTTGCATAAACACAAAAATCCTTTAATAGACCAAGCCAGGGTGGACACAGAAGAGGCATGTTTTGAATTCTAGTCAGACCATCTGGAGGGACACACATTCAATAAATCAAGGATCAGCAATATGACCATGTATAACTCAGTATTATCTCACTTGTTTTTGTGACTTTTTTTAAAATTCGAAGAATGTTAAATGAGAAGCTGACATCCTCCTAGTGTCAACGTCTGGTCATTTTAATTTAAAGACTCCCTCTGGGCTTTAAGCCCCACCGGCATTCATAGAAGACAAAAATAGTGGGTGGCTGCAGCCCATGGCTTTGCTTAGAAGCCTTCCCAGAAATAAAGATAAGTTTGTAGAGATCGTTCCAGGGGATAGAGAAAATAGAGGAGACCTATGCAGCCAGTTTGCCTTTTGATAAATAAGTGTTTTGACCTGCCATGCAGGGCAGCAAGTTGGTGAAAATCCAGATGCCCCTTTGGGTAGTGATTTTCAAAGAGCACCCACAGCATGCTATTCTAAATGGGTCCAGTGATCCCCAAAGGATGCTTCATCCCATCCTAATCCTTCACCTTGTTAGATGAAGTTACAGTTAGAACCCATACTGTATTTGTTGCTGATACAAGCAAGGATCTCAGGGAATTTCTGACTTATTCTTTGAAAAATATAATTGAAAATGATTGTTGTTTGGAGAGTTTATTTAAACAAAAACAGAATTAACAGAAAATGGGGAGTATCTTGGGAATATTTTAGGTAAAGGGGAAAAAGTGCAATCAAATAAGTGATTTTTATCTCCATTCTTAGCATTTTTTAAAATGAAGAAGCTAGCTTTAAATCAAGAAGCTAGAACTAAAATATATAGTCCCAGGCATATTCATATAACTAGACAGGCTGCTCTTTAAAAAAAACAGTTCCCTATGGTTGATCTGTGGCTCCATTAATGGAGTAACTGAAGGGGAAATAATTCATTTGAAACTCTGTTGATTATTTGAATTTAAATCAGTGATAATAATTTATTGCAGAGCACAATATTTTGGCATATGGCTCTATCTGGTACATGCAGCAGAATTGGATGGTACAGTAGCCTTCCCTAACTGGTGATCAGTGGCATAAATACAGTCAAAGCAATGGTGGGAGTCACCTTGGGGTCTGCAGGCATGGGGACCCCTGGCTAGACCTTCAGTCTTAAACAAACAAACAGCCACTCAGTTCTGATCCCCTGCAGATGGATGGGGGAACAGCAAATGGAGGTCGACTGCTGATAAATATGGCAGAGAGTCTCTGCATACTGGCAAGGGCAGCCACTAGAAGATAGTAGAGAGATACAGAAAACTCTCTTTGCTGCTCCCTTGTGGTCATCTAAATATTTGCAGCCCAGATCCAGTAGCACTAAAACTGATGCAATCTGCTGGCTGTACTCCACCCCCAAAGACTATCGTGAGTCACTGCTGCTGCTGTTCCTCCCGGGAGTGACTTGTGTGTGTCAATCCCAGCACCAGAAAAGTTCTGCTTCCTCAGATGTAGCCACTAGTTTTTAAACCTACAATTCATGCTGAGATGCTGCGGCTATCTGTGCTCAGAATCTTCTACTTACACTACACCAAATATGTTTCAACTTGGTTCTTACAGTCCCCAACCGGCATGACCAGAGTCTAAGATATCTGAAGGACACCAGGTTGAAAAGACAACTGTTGTTGAGTATTGAGGTAGTAACATAGCATGCTATTTTTAATGTGGTCCAAAAGGAGAAAAAGACAGACTTCTGTGGTATTTTCTTAGGATATAAGGAACATAGTTATAACAAATTGTTATTTTCCACAGAACACATTTCCCCTCTTGCAACTTGTTTTCAAAGCCTACTTTAACATGAGTCTCCTGTAGTCAGACCCCAGTTGGAAGCCACCCATTTTAGCATCCTGGTGGGACTATTACAAAGGCAATTGTTCCAGATTTGCCTGCATGATCTGCATCGGTGCTCATCATATCTTTCGGTTGTTTGTTTGTTTGTTAATTCTTCTCCAGCTCCCAACGTAAATGGCCTAGAGGAACCCAGTCTTGCTAAGAGACTGCGTGGCACACCAGAACGGATTGAATTGGAGAACTATCGGCTCTCAGTACAACGGGAAGAAGACTTGGAAGAAGTGCCAGAGGAGACCTTGGCAGAACACAACCTCAGTAGCGTGCTAGACAAAGGAACAGAAGAGGATGTACCCAGCAGGTTATTTTATTTGGGCATCTTTAAAAGCTTCTGTAGTTAGTCTTCTAGCACCTATGCCAAAATATACTTCTTCAAATTAAGTAGCAAAATACCTGTTAAAATATTGTGGCGCCACAGACTGAAAAGTAGGATGGGTTTTGAGTTCCCTTATAAGGTCACTATTATGCTCTGGTTTCTCTTCCAATTTTATAAATCTTTCACCTCCTATTTGGGGATCTCAACCATTTTTAGCAGCGGACAGATTTGCCCTGAGTAGTGTTTACTGCTGTTTCTTACTCTCTTTATCCTGTAAAACTCGGTAAGTCCCAACAAGATTTGCATTTTGTTTCATTTATATAACACTTCTTCAGGTTCAGGTTTTTGGGGTACTTAAATGAAATGAGGGATCTGAACCCAGGAACTGTTCAAATAAGTGGACAACCAAGAGGCTACAACCTGCGTCCAGTCTCTGAATTCAAATTGGCAAACAGCCAAATTATGAAGCATGCAATTTTTCACCTTTTTTACAGAAAATGTTTGTAAGCCTTCTTCTGTAAACAGAAAAACTCCCCCAGATATTAACACTGTACAAAAGCCACCCAAACATTGCAGTGGACACCCTTGATTCTAGTGCATGGTGTCGTCAGGAGGTTCACTCCATCTTAAATGGAGCTGTTTAAATCTTTCACTTTACAATTTTTAAAATCCTCAAAATATCAGGATAAACCCCATTTAGGTAGAATAATGTGCAACGCCTGCTTAAAACTTTTCCTTCTGATCATTTTTCAGCTGATTTATTATTTGGGAGGATAATTGTAAGCTGAAGAATTCCAAGAAGAAAAGAGTTAAACAAGTTGCCTTCACATTTCCTTCAGTTATGCATTCATAGTTAAAATAAAAATAATATAGAGAAAGAATTTAAGAACTCCATTTAATTCATAGGTTTCAGCTAGAGTTCTTACTCTGATTGGGAGTTATACTCTATTTTTAAGTGACAGCAAACTTTATTGTCTTTCAGAGAAATAAAGCCAGCATTCCTTCATGAGGGTTTGTTATCTGACAAAGTAATGTACTAAAATAAAATACTGTTTTTTCAAGAGATATTGACCTAAATATATGGCGAGGGGGGGGGGGGATACATTCTTAGAAGTTGAAAAAATTGCAGATTTTTTTCATACTCTAGATAAAATTCCCAAATGGTTTACATTTGTTAAGTTTGCCCATAATTTTACTTTAACAGCCTTATTTTTTTAAAGAATCTGTTTGCACAAACACTACTTGGGAAAGATAAAAGTCTAAGCAACAAATAAAGATTGGCAGTGGTTTAAAAAATAGGGAATAAATTGAGCAAAGAGAATGGGGAAAATGTAGTATGAATTCCTAATGCTATATATCTAATTGAAATAAGTTGTAAATATCTTTATTGTTTTGATTTGTATTTACATTTATATCCCACCTTTCTTCTGAGAAGGGAAGGAGATATTCTTGTAGGTGTCTCCTCATTTCACCCTGAAGATAACTGCCACATGAAGTAGGTTGGACTGAGAAAGATTGACTGACCCAGCATCACCCAGTAAACCTTATGGTCAAGTGGGAACCTGAACCTCATTCTTCCAAGTCCTAATCCAACACCTTAACTACTACACTAACAAATACAAATTGCCCTTTAGAATTACCTAGTAGACCTTCTTCAGTAAAAGTGAAGAGAAAAAGAAGATCCTAAGATAAATAGGTTAACACAGCCTTCTCCAGCCTCTGGTGCCTTACTGATGTCTAGATTTCAGATGCTGGAATTCTCCAGCCAGCATGGCCACATCAAATTCGTGTATCTGGAGGTTGACCACTTTGGTGAAGTCTGAGCTAAAGAAACAGGAATGGATTCCTGGAATTTAGAATCAGAAAAGAAGAATGTGATGATCTAGCAAGATGTTTTGTGAAGATAATGAATATGTATGATTCTCTAAGTTTGGGGGATTGTTTTGTTTTTTCCAAATGGGGGCCATTATTTAAAATGTATTAATAAGGCATGGGTTAAATAAATGAGAGACAGACATTTAAGTGATACAGACTATGAATTGTGGAGAGAGAAAACTTAAAAATGTTATTCTCAAGCTCCCTTTCCAGTCAGAGCAGAAGATTACAAAGTATTCCATAAGGGGGGGGGGGAAGGTAGATACACCCATTTTTTCTGTGCAGGTGGCAAATGAAACCATCACAGAACTTCTGATGAAGTTTAAAATGATAGCACATTTAAAGTCAGGAATAAATAATATTGGGCCCTTCTGATGTTTTAGGAAATTGCTCTCATAGTTTCTGCCCATTGGCCATGCTTCTGTTGATGGGTATTGAAGTATGCACATCTGAAGAGCACCTGGTTGTCACACCCCTATTCTTAGTGAATCAGTTTCTCTAAATAAAGTTCTAGATTTAAGTTTTGCCTTTACGCCACAGAGTACCCAAGGAACTGAACTTCAGGTTGTTTATCAAGACGGAAATGCATTCCCTCCCAGTGGCTTCTACTCCATTAAAATAAGTGGAAAGGAAAAAAAATTGGAATGGGAAATTTCCATAGACTACTGGGACACGTGGTCTCGGCTGCAGCTGTTCGCCTTTTGAAAATTCAGGACCATGGAAAAAGCATAGCTCAGCACTAACTGTACATTTTGCTTGATCCCCTATTTTATTCCAGGAATCTTCAGTTGAAATGAATGAATATAATACATAAATATATGAAATCTGTATCTGAGATGCCAAAGAGCTATTGCCAGCCAGAGTGTACAATACCAGGCTAAATGGTTAGGTATTCTGAATTGGTGTGAAAGAGTTTTCTTTGGTTGTGCTTATTGAAAAATATTATTAGCTGAAAGCCTTTCAAGACGCCTCTTGCCTGTTTTTCCCAACAGTAGTTCAGAATCTGAAATGGAGGAGGAAGAAGAGGAGGAAGAGGAAGAGGAGACAGCAGAGCAGCCCAGGCAACCTACCTCTGATCTGGGTGGTGTTCCTTGGAAAGAGGCTGTGCGAATACATGCCATGTTGAAGGGGAAGAGTGAGGAGGAACTGGAGGCTGAGAAAAACCATGATAATGAAGAAGAGGAGGAAGAGGAGGAAGAGGAGGAAGAAGAGGAAGAAGAAGTCTCTAGCGAAGGTTAGTAATAGATTATTTTCTCCCATCTAGGTATACATCTGTGTGTTGATGAATAGATATATTTGTTCACAAATCTCTCCTGTGGAATTCCTCTTTTTTCTTTGGAAAGTGTATATATTAATAAGTAACAGTGAATCGGGCTGAGTCTGATATAAAAAATTCTGGGAGGTTAGAGAAGAAATCCTTTGAGGAAGTAATGGGATCCAAATTGATGGCTGTTTTTCTGATTGTATTTTGTCTAATCCATCTTTCATTGTCTTTTTCATTTTTATAACCTGAACACAATACTTGGTTGTCATATCTGGGTTTACCAAAAGAAAAAGCTGGGAATAAATATGTTGCATTCAAGCTGAAGAGAGTGTTAGGAACCAGGAAACCAGCCTCCAAAGCAAACATTTCAGGAAACATCCCTATCTTTGTTGTAGAGCACATGCATTATCTACAAAAGTTCAATGTTCAACTGCAGGGAAGGCTGAGAAAAACTTCTGTCTGAAAATTGTGAAGCTGTTACTAAACAGTTTGGAAAATGCTAAATTTGCTCTGACTTTATGTAAGACAGCTTCCTGTGTCTTCTTGTGTACTGGCCATTAGTTGAGATCAGTGGGGTTCATTGTTAATGAATGAGATCAGTGGAGTTAACCAAGACCAAGGAAGGGGTTCATGAGTTTGAGGTTGCATGGAAATTGGTTCAAGATTATGGCTAATTAAGATAGAAAAATCCTGGGAAATTTGTGACAGATGGCTAATGGAATATCTACAACCAATACTAGTTGTCTTGGAAGAGTTTAGGTTCCCCGTTCATCAGAAAGCTGAACTTACTGCCTTATAACAGCAGAAAAAAAATTACCGAAACATCAGCATATGTCTTTATCCCAGATGTAAAATAATTCCTAATTTTGTTTCTCTGCTTTTGTACTTAAATTCTAAATACTTCTTTCAAGCATGGTGTTAACTATGAAACAAAAGTCACATGCCTAAACCAGAGATGACTACTGGTAGTATTTGGGAAATTGCAAGTTATTGTTGTAGCAGATGCTGAGGCCTTCATAGTGAAATGTTGGAGGTTCCAAACTTCCTCTGTCAGAAGCCTTCTGGGACTTCAAATCCTGGTCCCACCTCCTGCTTGGGGAGAGAACCTTGATATTACCGGATGCCACCATCTCTTCTCCAAAAGCACTTCATCTGCCATCCAACCCACTAACTAACTAAAATAGGGCTCTCATATTTTGGGCGGCCTTTCCGGCAATTAAAAAGTCATTGTCAAAAGTTTAAATAATACCCATGTGCCACCTCCTGGGTAGGTAGTTAGAGGTGTGGTGACTAGAGGATATAGCTTTTTCTCTCGTCCTTGGAAGATAAATCAATCTCACAGAAAATAAATGAAATCAAATTTTATGTTTTAAAAAAGATAAAACGTTAAACCATTTTAAAACTTTCAGTATCTAAATATCGACATTTAAAGTGAAAGTGAATTAGAGTTTCCCAGATAGCTTGCAGCAGCTAATACAGCAACTTGCAAATTAATTAAGAAAATTCTGAAAGAAATACAGTATTCCTGACCTACGATAAATGGCTCTGTGCCCAAAATCTCCATAAAGAGACTATTAAACAGTCATAATATTACACTTTCCAAGGAGATTCTTAAATTATATCTTAATGAACATAGCCTGAAATATGAACAAAGCTGAAATTAAGTATCCAGTTCTATAACTTCCACTAAGAAAGAAAACAAGACAGATCAAAAGCCTAGTGCAAATTCCTGGCTGTCTTTTGATCAAAAGCAAATGATCCTCTGCTTCAGTTTTCTGGATTTTTCTAGCTTCTTGGAGATTTAAAATGTGTAGCAAAGGTTGCAAGGAATGATAATAGTCTTATCCTCTTTCCAACTTCTCTCCACGGACTTCTCCCTTTGTTTTTTTAAAAACCAAACATTTTCTATATCCAGCAGAGAAATGAAGTGGAATAATGTGACTTTGTACATGGCAAACCGCCATCTCTCATTCATGGGGACGAGGATGGGATTGTGACTCTGAGTCTGCAATTTGGTGTACAGGCTGCATTCATGACTGTCTTAAAAGTTGTGAATTAATATTTAATGTAGCTGCTAGCAGAAAACCATAAACCTGTAGAATATTTAGGTTTGAAGATGAATATGATCCTAGCATCTCTGATTTTTCTAAAATTGGAGAAAGAAAGTTGAACTTCGTTGTTTTTAATCATAACTGGCAAAAACACTAATTTTGTTGTCTTTGGAGAATCTTTTTTAAATGCATAGTTTCTATTTTAAAATAAGTATGGACTGCCAGAGCATTTGATTACTCTCCCAAGATTTGCATGGATCAACTCCTTTAATAACAGAGCACAAGAAGGGAATTTTAGCCAACAAAAGCCTTGGTTGAGAGACCCATCTCCAGAATAAAGAAACTATTCATTAGATAGAACTTAGGTGCAGGAAAATTGCTTGTAAATCCAAATTGTACACATATATACGCGTATTCCATTTTTGTAACGGGTATGCACTGTATCCATTACTCCTTGAGATGTTCATATTTAGCATGTTCAGATTCCAATATGGAATTGAAAATGTGGAAGACAATTTAGAATAGGTGAAGCAACACAGAGCCTCTGTGGGTTTCCCCAGCCTTCGCTGTGTTCATTCTTACTCTCTGTCCTTTCTTTCACTCTCATGTCTCTGTCAATGCTATTTGTTGGTGTCGTCCTCCCCCTGCTGTAGAGGGAGAGTATTACCCTTGGGAGAGAGAACTTCAGCAAGGCCTCTGGCTTCAACGTCTTACAAACGAAGAGGACACGGGTACATTTAAAGGTACCCTTGCACCATCACCGCTTCCCTTAAGGAAAAAGGGGAGCTCCTTTTCACAAAGAGCAGGTCTTGAGCGGCGCAGCATATTTACAAACTGCTGTATTCAATAAATTACTTTTTTTGTAAAAAACAAAAACAAACCATGTTTATTTCCTTCCTTTCCTCTAGAACAGTGTTTCTCATCCCCAGCCACTTTAAGATGTGTGGACTTCAACCCCATGCTGGCTGGGGAATTCTGGGAGTTGAAGTCCACTCATCTTAAAGTGGCTGAGGATGAGAAACACTGCTCTAGGACATCAACATGGTACCTGTTGTGGTTTCCCTTCATTTTTTCATCACAATAACTCTGTGAAATAAGTTGGGGCAAGGAATAGAGACTGGCTCAATTCACTCTTGGATCACCATGGTCAGGAAGGGACTTGAAGCTGGTTCTCTTTGGTCTTTGTCCAACATTTTAACATTATCCTATTAGGAGCAAATATAAAATTTACTTGTTCTCTGCCTCCTCTGTAAGATAAATAGAGCCACAGCTAGATTAAAGCTCAGGCATTTCTAGATTAACTTCATTAAATTCCATGGCCAAATATGTGTCTGTTGCTGCCCACTTTTACACCATCCTTCTGTGAGTCAAACCATAAGCATTCAAAGACCAGCAGCACTGTGATCTTGTTTTTTTCCCTGTGCGTCTGTTGCAATGATTTTTTTTTAATTATCTCATAGCTTGACATTTTGTTACAATGATACCTTCGTCAAAAAGAATCCATGCTATCTTTCTTTCGTATTAACCAGAAAACCTGAAAAATATTTTTTTCAGTTTTTGAAGACTTGTTTTGAAAAACTGGAAATTCCCCTCCATTTTGGCTCAATATTATTTGATTCCTTCACATGTTATTGTGACATTTCTTACAATTTGGTGTATCTTGTTTGCTTTTAGTGCCTTAAATTCATCTGCAAAAACAGTTGTATAAATAGGGAAGAGGATACTATAGGAGTCACTATGGCTGTGTTGCTCCTTCATGGATCACTCCCTTGTCGTGGCGAAAGGTAACTCAGTGAAGCCATGAGCCCGTGCAGGGCCACCCAAGACGGACAGGTCATGACAGAGAGTTCTGACAAAATGTGGTCC